GAACCGGTTTTGTGGGAGAGCGTTCCACTCAGCTACGACAGTTGTTCCTAGCTCCTTGGTCGTTCTTAGCTGAACATTTGAGGCAGAGAAAGCTGTCTGCAGCATGTCCGAAACATGCTCGATGGATTTAGATCCCGCGAGCGAGCTGGCCAATCAATTCGTTGAATAGTCTCTTGCTGCAGATACTGCTCAGTCACCCTTGCTCTATGTGGCCTAGCATTATCGTCCATAAGGATGAAGTCATGGCAAATAGCACCAGCGACGGGTCTGACATAGATATCAAGGATTTCATCGCAGTAAATGCGGGCCGTAACGGTACCATTGTGGAAGAAATGGTGGTCAGTTTTCCCACAAAGGCTGATATCTCCACACACCATCACTGAGTCTCCGCCATATCGGTCATTTTCCACAACGTTACCTGTCTGGAACCTCTCTCCAGATTGTTTCTACACTCTAACGCGCCTGTCGGTGAAATTGAGACAGAATCTGGACTCCTCAGTAAAATAACCGGTTCACATCCCCGAAGATTTCAAGTGCTGTGTGCTTGGGCCCAAACTAATCGGTCCCCAACATGGCTGGCGGGCAGTTAAGGGAACTCCTATTGCTGGTCTACGTGACCTTAAACCAGCATCATGAAGACGGTTCCAAACTGTCTAAGTGGCTACCCGGGTACCACAAGCATTTAGGAGGTCATTTCGTAAAGCTGTGGACGTCTGGAACCTGTGACGCCGTGCCTGTATGAGCAAAAATCGGTCTTCAAACTCAGGCGCTGCTTTGTAGCCCTAGAACGACCTCCAGTATGACGTCTGGAAGGGTTTCTGTTAGCTTGGAAACGATTCCACATTCTTGCCACCACACTTTGAGACAACCCAAGGTCTGCTGCAACCTGACGTTGAGACATGCTAGCTTGCCGCATTCCGACGCCCCTATTGTCTGGTTCGTGTTTGTGCCATATTAAAACAAAAACACGCAAAGAATATTCATCAAATTGATTTCCTTTACAATTTGAACAACGCCGTACTTAGCCTAGCTAAGTTTTTGAAAGGGGTGTACACGTGGAAAAGCTTGCAGGCGCTTTTATGATTGACTGAACACACCCACACAGGACGATTTGGAAAGCTAACATATTCGCCCAAAACAGTAAGGAAGGAAAATATAATATCCTTTCAAACATTTTTATTATATTTTCAAAATATGGGTGATCATAAAAGTATTTTGATTTTCTTTAACCGCTAATATTAAAAGTCGTTAAGGTCACTTGCACATTGCTTTGCATGTAAAAATTACCAGCCGTGTAAGATATATACTTTACTTGCACGACCTGCGCTCCGGCGAAGCGTGTCGTGCTCGATGTAATACACAACTTACAGCAGTATATATTTAAATACGCAATATAATAATAATTTTAAGAATGTAGCTATCGTGATAAAAAAAACTGTAGAATAACAACGTAACTATTGTTTTATAGTGAAACCATTGTGACAGAACTAAGGTAATATGATTTAATTATTGTGTTATCCTGTAACTGTAGTGATATACTGTAACTATTGTGATATAACTAAACATATAACTATGCTGAAATAGTGTTTCTGTGGCGATACAGTGTAACTATGGAAATATGTTGTTACTATGCTAATGTAGTATTTCTACGGTAATTGTGAGCAGCCATGATGATAAAGTGTAACTATGGTTATTTAGTATAACTGTGCTGATATAGTATCATAATGATGTTATATGGTATTATTGGTGTCAAGAAGTAACTATGGATTTTAAGTGTTAATATAGTGTTACTGTAGTGTAAGTGTAACTGTAGTAAAAACATGTAACCGTGGTGATGGGTTGTACCTGTGCTGACATAATTGCAACATTACTGTACATGTGGTAATGAGATGTAACTATGTAACTATGGTAATGAAATGTTACTGTGCCGGAAAAATCTTAACAAAATGTTGGTATTATTGTAAAAGAAAAACGTTTTTTACGTCATTTAATGTCTGTACACAAACACTTGATAATGGATACCATAGTTGTGCCAACTGTCAAGCATTATTAAAGTTTAATACGGATTAACCTATCCCCCCCAGAGTCAGACTTCAGCGGTATTTCGGAACCAAGAATAGTGGATATTCCGCAGAGATCCCAACTCATGACGCCTAATAGGATAATGGACTCAATTGAATTCTTTTATTTATTATATCACTATTCCTTTTGATTTATTTTTTGATAAATTCCGAAATTATTCGTCCAGATTTTATGTTTCTTTCACTTGAGCACGGCATTTTGTACGCGAAACTTTGAGCTCAGACTGGACCTCTTTGAAGGCGATGTCGAGTTATCCACTGAATTTGTTTTTTTAATAATTGTTGATACCATAAAGCTGACGATTTTGAAAGCTTAACCTTGGTTGTTTCAAACAAACGCTGGCCTTTCCGAAACGCCTGGTCTCCTTGTCAATGTTCCCATGGTCTTATGTAAAGCTTACCTTTGTTCTTGCTTTGCCAAGATTTCATCTATTTTGAATACACCTTGGTATTCTCTTCTTGTTGTTCGGCGGCTAAGTGATAATGACCCAATCTAGTTACATCCTCAGTTCAATAGATAAATATACTAAAAATATGAAACGCAAGAAATGAACACATTCATGAACTGTAAAAACGTTGGCGTACATCAAACATATCCTAGTGTTTCATTCCACTTTTGGCATCAATTAGGAATAACGTTAGTTTAATGGAGACATTCGTGGGTTAAATGATTAACGATTGTATTTTTAGCAATCTATATGGTAAAGCGCCAAATCGCCAAAAAAAAACATTACAAATGTTTTACTTAATATGGTAAATTGTAACACATTAAAAATGAATTTTTAAAGGTACAAAGCCTGATTGTTTTACAGGTACAACCTCTACCACCAGCGTTCCTACTACCACTACCACCACCGTTCCTACTACCACTTTCACCACCAACATTCCAACTACGATTACCACTACTGAATCACCAGCATCAACTGAGATACAGTCAACCAGGGAAATGGACGCCATGAAAGAAGGTAAGTCAAAGGTGACAGACAATGTATTTGTCGGTTGAATTCGAGAATAACAATTCAAATAAATTTAACAATGATACAGTTTTCTATGCCTCAGCGGATCATGACTAATAACACTCATCTGCTAAATGGTTTCGTTTTTTATTAGCTTTCTATTATGTATTTGGTGATGTTGGAGGCACGGTAGTCTAGTGGCAGGACGCCGGGCTCTTGGCCGAAGGGTTGTTGGTTCGAGTAAAGTCACGGCACTGTGTCGTATCTTTGAACAAGATACTTTACTCCGTTTGCTCCATTCTACTCTGCTGTATACTAGTTTTCATTTCAAATATATTTTATTGATTAAACAAAAGGATTGAGCAACAGGCTTTGCCTATATAAGCTTTTTCCATGGCTTCCAGCATACTTTTGATATTTGAAGACATTGAATACAATATTTACATACATACATTTTATTTCAACTCATCTCATGGATACATTTATTGCCAGGTGATATACATTTAATTAGGCTGGCTTAATATTTTCATGTTTCTACAGAAAAAAAAATCCTTGGAGAAAAAAAAAATACAAACTTTGCGATATAAATATTTAATATAGTTGTAAAATTTGTGTCAAGAAGAATTAAATATACTGTTATGAATATACACAGTATTCAAATCGAATTAAATATATAGATATACGTCTTGAACTTGAGCAACTTAAATTTGCTATGGCAACATGAAATAAAGCAAAACTGATACATGCATGTATTCTGATAAAGAAATGAACCGGGACTTATTTGAAGTACACATGTATTGAGATGAGTTGGAAAATCAAATAGAAAATTAACTAAAAGAAAACAGAAAAATATGTATATCAAAAAAATAAAAATAAAAATAAATAAATATGAAAACCCAAAAAGACATAAATAATTATATAAGGACACACACTAATCTCAATCACTCACTCATACACTCTAACACCACATTTGTATCTACAGGCATGGGTTTATTTAATGTAGTTTATACATATTTGTTTTAAATGAATGTGCAGTTGGGCATTAAATATGATAACAAAGTACACTAGTTCGCAGGATACAAATATGTGGCATTTTGGTATTTCATAATAAATTATTAATTTTTCAATAATTAAATAAATTATAAATATTGATTTACATTACTCATCATACCTTAAGTGTCATGACCACATAAAGTCCCTGGACATTTGTTGCCCTGTGATCAATCAACCTTGGTATATTATATGTAAATATATATATTCATTATCCACTATCAACAGAAATAATGAATTTATCTTACAGAACCACATGCAGCTTGTATATTTATCTATTTAAACCGTCCTGTAGCATTAATGTATTTATGCACACACTCCATCAATTGATTGTTCTGTAAATTACTTTTACTAGTGATTCCATTTATAATAGTACTTAAAGGTATTGTATTATGGAAATCTTCATCATTAAATATAAGATCCTGCATAAAAGTTTGTCGTTCTTCTGTATAGAGAGGATATTCAAAAATTCAAAATACTAGTACGTGGTTAGGCAGTGCTATAATTGTTGAATGCTAGCTATAAGCGCCGAAATGGCGGCACTGTCTGCATGCTCCCCAGGGAGTTTAGAAAAATATTGGCTGGTTGCAAAGGCCCCTTAACCACGGATGATAAGTTGTAAACCGCTTTAAGGCGATCTAGGACCTATGTTGTGATGATGCGGTACATAAGAACCTCGAGTTATCATCATTATTATATTTAAATCGTCCTCATTACAGCTGTTGATTGGAATATCAGTGTTACTACAGGGTACATGTTGGATCCATCCTTCACGAAAGCCGACTTTACAGTCACATTCTACGAACGCGGAAACACCAGCGAAAGTGATGCACCCAATGTTACGATGACAATAACGATGAAACAATTCTTAGCATCCCACGCTTATGTGAATGTCACTATCCCAGCTATCACAAGACCGAAGATGATAGACGTTTGGCAAAACTCAACTGAAACTTTTCTTTGGAAAATGTTAAAGGTATGAAATATGTTATATTCACATTTTTTGACAGTATTTGTTTAGTATATCCATGTGATGCAAAACATCATTTCATGTATTTTTCTATATGTGAATACCGGGAAACTGTCGCCCAATTAACCTTTCGCTCTACGCCGATGAAATTCATTTCCGCCTTATATTATTTTCACCCCTTAACATGTGATTACTTTTTTTTTATTATATCGCTTACTTCTGTAATGATGAATTTGCCCTCATCGCGGAGGGCGAAAAAGGCGAAAATGTCCCGATATGCAGCTTGTTGGTCATCGTCTAAAAATCACAGTGTTTATTTTCAAAGTTGATACTAAATGTTAGAGTAAATTTGACAAAAAATCTAATTAAAACTCAAGTTGAGCATTGGTCACACAGTTTTACAACGAAAATGTCATAATTTAACCATTCGGAAGAATAAATTAATGGTTTTACCAACCTTAACTCGAAAAAACATGCACGGCAAGACTGCTTTAAAGTCTTAAAGTTTGTTTACTTTCATCATGACCTCTCATCATGACAGGTTATATCATTATCAAAGACAATATTTGACAGTGTACGTCAGAACGTAATTTTCTTTTCACTTTAGAAGTTTCCTAGCATCATAATAAAATGCAGTAGAAACACTTAATAGTATTTACACTATTCCTTTGTTCTAACCATTTTCTGCGGGTTTGTAAGTATGGATTATGAAAACTTTCTTGTAACACAACCAATGTGTGTTTCTTTGTGATGTTACGGTATGTACTCTTTCACCTTCATCAGACAAATAACCAGTGAAGCGTATACACACAAAGGTGTACAATGTGTACGAGTTGTCTACAAATTGATGTCGATTCGGCTACGCTGTAAGCGAATGTACAATGATAAGGTATGAAATGATGCCGAAAAACTATTTTTATACGAAAATAAACAACATTTATGATAGAGGCTTCCGTAAATGGATTTCATTTTTCTATGAATATGAATAACAATTACTTGTGTTCAAAGTGTATAAATGTTTCCCCCAACTGCATTCGACTCGCAGGGATTAGTTTGATTTGTAGTAAGGAAAGGTAATTTCTCAATCGCATATAATGGAAGTCATTCTTACCCATCTCACTTTTTCCATCTTTTCATTTTATTTTCCCTAATAAGTTTAATAGATGTACAGTATGTGATTAAACCTTGATTTAATTTTGTAAATTAGGTTTAAAAAAAAACCTATCACATCCTACTTCGATATTTTTTGCAACAGTGTAATTTAAAGTAACACAATAAGCACCATTTATTTCAGAGTCAATTTATTTGCTATTGCAGTATGTTTAAGAGTGACGTGGATAAACGAAAATAATTTGGGAACCTTGACCATTTATAGAATAAAGTATATGTATATCCTTCGAAAGGGAAACCATATTTGAGATGTCCTTTAAACTATAAATAAATACGTTGACTATAAACTGTTTCTGTGTCACTGCCAAAACAATACATTAAACTCTTAGACAGGTTTTCCATACAATTTGTAGACAATACCATGTTAACTAAGCTAAAATATCAATGTTGAAATATAGTTACAAAATGGTGTCTCTGTCAAAAATAAAATGGAACAAGTATTTTGAAACTAAAACAAAATGTTCTAAATCCTACATCAGAAGTCACGGTAGTCTAGTGGTAGGACGCCGGGCTCGTGACCGAAGCGTTGCGGGTTCGAGTCACGTCACGACACTGTGTTGTATCTTTGAACAAGATACTTTACTCGGCTTGTTCCAGTCTAATCGGCTGTAAATGGGTACGTGGTTGCAATGAACAGTGATAGCATTGTTGAATGCTAGCTGTGAGCGCCGAAATGTCAGCAACCACTCTATGCTCCCCAGGAGTTTAGAAAGATGTTGGCTAGTTGCAAAGGCCCTATAGCCATGGTTAATAATTTGTGAACCGCTTTGAGACGACCTACGGACAAGGCTGTGATAAAGCTGTATATAAGAACCTCAAATTATCATTATCATTATTAATATCTTCATCTATCCAAATACCTTCAGAAACTTTAGTGTCTATATCAATATGTTGCTTGGTATTGTACTTTTCCCTAAGCATAGGTTACTGTTAACGCTTTATGTAGTCACCATTGTCAGTCCTTTTAGTTTTCTTATTGATGAAAAACACTATTTTAAACAATTGAGAAATATAATAAAATCACATCTGTAAAGTCTCTATCTGTTGCAGTTGACGATGGAAAGCTCCTCATATAACTTTACATTCGAATGTGACTGCTGGATTGGAAATAGCCACAACAAGACTACCATATCCCCAAAAGGTAAATACTTTACCAAAACCTTTAGACGAAATACATAATTCAGTAGGCTTGGTTTGGTTTGTTTATGTTGCACGTCATGTTCACAGCTATGGTCATTTTAGGACGTGCCAGGTTTTGGCGGTGGAGAAAAGCCGGAGTTCATGGAGAAAAACCCCGACCCAAGGCCAGTACCTGGCGCCTGCCCCACTTATAATTCAAACCCGCGACCAAGTGGTGGGGAGCTGGTGGTAGCAGAACGTCAGACGCCTTAACCACCACTTAGCCACCGCGGCCCCGTATTCAGTAGGCATCATTGCATAAGTTTCAGGATATGTTTTAACCAATTTTGACAGCTTTTATATTTCGTTATTAGAAAAAATAAAACAAAAACAAACAACAAAGGAAATGAGTATTAATTAGTATAATGATCGTGTAGCCTGTATTACGAAAGTGTAACAGGTCAAGGAATAGGTTCCTAAACAAACGTTTATCCTCATTGTAAAACATGTACTTCTGTGATTGTTGACAGATTAATCATTTTGAGTTTGTTGTAATATCCGGAATCTCCTGTGCTCGATGACCAAAATTGTATTGCCGAGTTGGATGTTATGTCTGAAATATTTTGGCCAAGTTAGTTGCTGTAACCCGTGTCTACTGTGCTTGATGATGAATTATTTTGGCCGAGTTGGTTGTAATATCCGGTCTCAATTGTTCGATGACCGAATTATGTTTGCCGAGTTTGTTGCCATATCTGGTATATCCTGTGCTCAATGACCGAAATATGTATAGATAAACTTTAGAATTAGCATATAACTGATATTAATGGCACATCGATCCCCTTGTCAAATTCGAATTTCATGAATTACCACGTGACTGGAGAGTGGTTACTGTCGTGACTCGTGAATAAACGTGAACTTATCAAATGGTCGTGTCTATCATCAATCACTCGCAAATGGTACATAACATAGATCAGATGAATGAACATATATGTCTGAAATAACGCAAAATGTGCATATTAAAACCTATAACATCGTAATATTTATATAGATGTATATCTGTATTCTGATACAAATAAGGAAGTTTTCATTCATGATGTAAATTCAATGTTTCTGTAAATTATTAAAGAATGAATTCGAGTTACAAAGTTTCACGTAATCAATGTAAATGGGTGAATATGCACCGGTTTGTAAATCTTTTACAACCTACTACAAAAGGTTTATATATATTTCCATTACGGATCTCAGAAAAGAAAATGATATAATATAGCTTCATTTGATATTGTTGTACTGGTATATGCTGCAAACAATTCTTTTCAGCAAATTATTTTTGGTACTGATATATACAGTATCTATATGGTCTGCATCGTAAACTAGATTAAATGTCTCTGATTATGTTTTAGAATAGTTATTATTTCACCACAGTGTATATGATATCAAGGTTATTATCATGTGTATCTGTTTTACTTTCTACACAAAATATTTCATAATCTTATTGTGTCCAATTCCTTTAGAGCATGATGAATCTAAAAACAGGTTGCATAAGATGTGTTTATAGATATGACGATTACAACGTGTTTCTATTTTCAGAGGATATGTGGGCCTTAAAGACAACAACTGGAAGCGAGGAACCTGATGGTGACTCTAAAGCAATATTCGGCATTACTGTGTGGGACAGTACCGGTGTTAGCAATACAGTGCATTTTCATGGCGTTTTTGAACTTGGAGAAAACGTCACATTATACTTGACAATACATGTCAATGATCCCGTTAGATATCAACTGTGGCAAGATAGTCGACGGGATTATTGGGAATGCAAAAAGGTAAGTCAGAAAAAGCATGCACGGAAAGAACAAACGGTCAATCAGAAAAAAAGCTAACGGTATGGCAAAAATTAAACGATCAATCAGAGACAGCAATAATAATACATAATAATATACAACATTTGATATAGCGCCCTGTCTTGCTAACATAAACCACTCTAAAGCGCTTTACAGTACATAGATATACAATTAATACAATTAGCATATACATTAATTAAGTAAATTTTGTGGAATTCCCAGAAGCTGCCTTATCAGGCGCTAACTACTAATCCTATGCCACCTGGCTAATATCCTATGTGTGTATGCATGCGTGTGTGCTAGTAATGCATTTTATTCTGTTTTGTAATGGAACCGTGCTTCCAAAGGCATCTTTTATAGTGCCACCTCACTTGAATGCTACAGTACAGATACCTCAACATCAACCCCAGACCATTTTATACTCCACCTGGGTTGTTGGAGTTGCGCGGGTAGGAGAAAAAAATTCTCTGATATTCCATGCGTACGACGATTTCGAGGATTGAACCCCGGCCGTCTGCGTGGAAGGCCGAAGTGTTGACCACTCGACCAATCCGCCAATTAGTAATAAACGGTCAGAGATAGCAATAAATACTCAATCAGAGACAGCAATAAACGGTCAATCAGAGACAGTAATAATCGATCAATCAGAGACAGTAAAAAACGGTAAATCAGAGACAGAAATAATCGATCAATCAGAGACAGTAAAAAACGGTAAATCAGAGACAGCAATAATCGATCAATCAGAGACAGTAAAAAACGGTCAAACAGAAACAGCAATAAACGGTCAATCAGAGACAGCAATAAACGGTCAATCAGAAGAATACAAAACGAATGACAGAAATAGGTAGCAAATTATACAAAATATATGACAGAAAAAACACGGAACATTAACTATAATCATCATCCAGAGGTATGTTTTTTTTCTGATCACGTTCTTTTTCTTAGTCCTAATCTCAAGATACTATGAATTGTACATGCTATTGTCACTGATGAGATGCTTTTTCATATTTTGTTTAAATAAGTTGTGGTGGGTAACGATTATGACTTATATTGTTTCCCGGGGCGATCCTTTCTGTACATATTATTTTGCGTTTTGGTGAATCATTTGCTAAAACAGAAAGATTAAAAACTGAAAAATGCTCGACCCGTAACTATCTCAATGTGTTTTCATTTTGGTAAAAAGTATGTCGACACAATTTTGCTACTTGTTCATTTAAACCAAGAAAGTTATTTCGAAACAATTATCTCGATAACTTGTCTTTCCATGATACATTAATCCATTAGTCGACTTATGAATATAATGAAATCACCTTATGATAATTGCAGTGTTCAACATAATTTAGATAACATATCAAAACTGTCTCGATAACTCGAAATAAATAACTGGTTATGCCGTATGTGTGTGATTATATTATATCGACAATACAAAAGCTAGCTACTGTCATTACGAATTTATTTTCACAAGAGGTTGAAAATAGAACACCAAACCTCGGTAGATCTCATTTTGTATTTATGAAACTGAGGACACATACATGTAATACCAATGGCCGCTGACTGTACATGTAGCAGACAGAGCACTGGGGTTATCTCGCATTCATGTTCATGAACAATTTCACTATAAGTCGACTCAGCGAGACAGTTTTGGTTACATATTTAACTCGATTAAAATTAATTGGTGGCAAGGTATAGTCAACAATAAAAATAAAGGAGCATAAGGACGGTTGTTTTCACTCTGATAACAAAAACAAAAAATATTTCAAGACAATGATGATATAGTTGTTTGATATTTAATTTCCTGTTTTTTTTGGGTTTTTTTGTTTTATTTCATTTTGACAATATGATATTTTACGGTTCATGTTTTATATAAATGACAAAGAAACACAAGTGACATATAAGTCAGTTTTATAACTCGTTTCTTTGTCATTTATTTAATTAATGTAATAAACACTATATATCATACACAATAGTATATGTTGATCAGAAGGTTTAATATATGAATTACCTTCTATTATATAGAATTAAATATCTATATTTGTGACAGCAAGGTTACATACTAAGAGACTGCAGATTATTTTGTAGTATATATTATACTTAGTTACTACACAAAACAGCAGAGAATGGAATTGTTGTTAAATAGTCATTTATCAATTACAGATACAAAATTGTGGCACTACAAGTTCACAATTTGTATGATCAAGTATTACTTTTGTTGAATAATACATAGATCAGTTACAACAAAGGTGGGGTACAAGTAGACACCACAAATTCACAATGTGTATTACAAATATTAGTAATGTTGGATAATGCATCTACCATAAGTACATTTACTTTTAATAATATGACATAACAAAGATAGGGCACAAATTATGATAAATTCAATATATATACTGACAATGAAGTAATGCATTAACTTTTTCGGATGTTTTTTATTCAATGTAAATATCCGTTTCAGCTCGTTTTCATCCAGATAATGACGTGCAGATCATTTAGTTTTGGATGCATCGGCTTTAAGTCTGATACCGTAACAGGTGATCGAAAGAGTTCTGGTAAGTCAGCGTGTTTTATGAAATGATAAAGGACTGTTTGATAATATTAATATCATATATTCTGGCGTTGAAAGGGGATGGAGAGACCAATTGTTTGACCTTCTGGTTACTATCACAGAGAAGTTTTAATTTCTAATGCATAAATATATCTTGCAGTTATGCCGTCACGATGTGACATAAAACTAGGGTCAGCTTGGAGACCATTCCGAGATAAACGGGGTTGCAGTGGAGGACCAAAATCACAAATGGCCTTATATATAAATAGCATGACGGCATAACCACAAGGTGTAGTTATGCAAAAAATTAAAAATTATATGTGATGGCCTTCAAAAGCCCATACGGACACTCCTACATTATATCCATTTTTTCCAGCCTTGAACATTTCTCACTTGGCATTTTTCGTAACACATGCTTTATTTCATAGCGAGAGGCGACAGATAAAACATGCAGTTTGTATTCTTTGTAAAGAAGTAAACTAAGTATATGTTAATTCAAAAATTATGGTGGGTAATTATTTATTCATTAATATCAATTATTGTTAGTTGTCACTTCACCTGTTATCGGTACATTTCTATATGTTTAAATGGACGTATATAATTGCAAATATGTTAGATGGAGAAGAAGACGCTTACTCGTCCGGATCACCTGGTCCTTTTATCATTGACCTTCTGCATGAAACCTTTGCTGTGCTAATTTTCACATTTTTATCTTTTATTTCGATATCAAATTATAGTTTTGTTGACTTGTATGTGCAATCCTTTTGTTTTCTTTTGGTTAACGTATCACATTGATTTATAAAAGTATGTACATCACTTACCTTCTCGCCAGAGTAATAAAGTGAATAAATTCCTTTCGTGTGTTTGTCATAGGTGAGTATTGAAATATGGACTCTTCATCAAATCTTTAGTATTGGTTAAATTACTGAGTCAGTGTTTCAGCAACACTCGTGACAGCTTGAAAATCAAGAAGAAAATTGTAAAACGTCACACAAACAATCTAAGAATTCTACTTAGCATAATTTATTGATTGTCTGACCAGAGGATCTCAAATTCTTTCCATTTCATTTAATGTTTAGTGACACTTATAATGATTTGAGGCTCTTATTAACCGCTTCATCACAACCTAGTTCGTAGGTTGTCTAAAAGCGGTTTACAAGTTATCATCCGTGGTTAAAGGGCAATTGCAACCAGCCAATATCTTTCTAACTCATTGGGGAGCATACAGCCAATGCTGCCATTTCGGCGCTTACAGCTAGCATTCAACAATTCTAACACTGCCATACCACGTACTCATTTACAGCTAAGTAGACTGGAATAAGTTTCTTATTCAAAGGTACAACACAGTGCCGTGATGTGACTCGAACCCGCAACCCTATCGGACACGAGCCAGGCGTCCTACCACTAGATTAACGTGCCTCCTCCTTATTTTATATAATAAATAAAATAGGCTTTGTCGATGTATAACGATTTTTTCCATACCTGTTTCATAACTCCCAAACCGACACAAACACAATTTCACTTTGCTTTCAGTTCTATTTTATTTTGGCTGGAATGATCAATGTTGCCGAAATTTAATGGACGCAGCCTCGCCGCGTCTAAACTTCAAATGCAAAATAGTATATACAACGTTTCCCTGACATGGTAGCTGTGCAAAATGTATAATTCGTTGCATAATCTTTTCATATAACCAAATCAGACGCATTTGTAAGGCGACATTAAAGGCGTGGGGGAAATGTAATAACTTGACACATAGTAACAATACTTGTGGGAAGAGTTCCTGGAAGAACACTTGGGTGTATAAAATCATAGAGAATATTATATAATATAAACACTACATTGTCAAATAAAAAATCCTAGCATATATTTAAGCATTAAACAGCATTTTTGATTCGTGTCATAGGACTATAACACGAAACAGAATGCTGTTTATGCTAATATTAACATTTTTTTTATTTTTTTTTAAACTTTCATTTCTAACTTTACAGGTCACTTTTAAATTAGAATTTAGCGGTGTTTATACAAAAGATAGAACAGCAAATGGAATTGCTTTCGGAATGTTGTCACTGTTGACTTTTCCAGTAAAAATAATATAATGCGTTAATGTTAATACTTTTTCCATAGTTTAATCAATCAATATATTCCATTCACATTTTAAAATAGTCTTACATAAAACGGTGTATACCATTGAATCATACCTTTTTTCATTTTGTATTGTCTTATCTGCTTGCTAGTGTGCAGGGGGAATAGCGACTTGGTAGTTAGTCGTACCCGTGTATATATCAGTGCGCCAGTGTTATTGTCTCATAACAGGGAACTGGCTTTGGTAGTGTTATATATTGGCAATGCAGAGCAACTGTTAATATGTATATACATATATATCACATCTATGTTAAAGGTACTGCGTCTGATTGTCACATCTGATGTATCTGACCCCCCC